GATATATATAAATATATAAACTATGTTACATGCGTTATATGCGTCTCTAATTATTTTTCCCTAGCAAATTTCAATTGAACCTAAAGCCGCCACGTCAGTTTAATTGATATGCTAATTGATTGACAACTAAGCAAGGTTACTTTTTAATTAATACAAACTTGAGGTTACATCTTTTCAAATGTTTCTCAATTAATATATAAGGGATGGGAAATACAAAAGAAGCTAAATCCAATTTACTATTTGCTCCGGCGTCCACTTGAATCGAATTGACTACAATTATACTCCAGTCCACTTGAATCATTCGTCCTCTAAACTCAACAAGACATTTTCCTAATACACACCATTAATACAGTTAAAAACCCCCATAAATACAGTCATTGAAAAGCCTATATATTATAACGCGTATTATTTGCTGGCTTAGTCAAATTTTATTTGTAATGAAATCACGAGAGAGAAAACGTGAAAACATACAAAATGAACTATTCAACTACTCTTTTTTTTCCAAAATCAACTCATCAGTTCTGGAAGGTGAACTTTGTTATATATGTGACATGTTAAAGCTCGTGTTCTACATTACAAGTTTTCAATGGGTTAATCAACGTATAATCAGGTATCACGAATTGAGTATATACGCATTGTATTGAGCCGCACAATAACATCTGCAAATTCATATAGTTTGATGATACAAAAATGTATTAGTATATAGTAAATTTATACTAACATTTAGTCAACCGTCTGGTAAGTTTACGCATTGAATAGCTAATAACCAGCTGAAGATTGAATAGCTAATAACCAGCTGAAGTTATTGACTCTAGAATGATTTATAAATCAATAAAATAATACATTCGCCTGAATGCAAAAAGAGTCCAAGACTAGTAAATTGTTCACACACATATAAAGTACATTTATTTAAAAATTTCAGCTGTGACTGGTTAGTATTTATAGAGTAAACATTTATTTTAAAATTTTATTTACTATATATTTCACAAAAATGTTACAAATGAAGTTGAATACTATTTTTAATGTTTACTTTCAGATACTATTGAATAAGAGAAATTCGCACTCATTTTTACTCTAAATTTTACTTCACTTTCCTTTTCTCTCTTATTTTCTCACCATTTATTTTTGTCTCTATTTCATCATTTTTTACTTCATTTTATTCTTAAGTTACCAATCCCATTCTAAAATTTTTTTTACGGTGCTTGATTTGCTTTTGTTCACAACATAATAATGCACAGTGTTTACTCACTTTTTTTCTACTTAAAAAAAAAAAAAAGAGAGTAGTGAATAGGTTGAGTCGGTCACTCACGGTGCATGGTCACTCTCTCTGCACGTTCTCATGCCCTCTTCTCCTCTCTCTCTCTCTCATTATCTCTTCCTATTAAAGACTCTAACCAGTCCTGTAGAGAGAGCTGAGAAAGAGACAGAGAGTCAGAGTTTGTACGAAAGCCTTTAGCTAAGCAATGGACGTCTATGGCTTATCTTCACCAGACTTACTTCGAGTCGATGACCTTCTTGACTTCTCCAACGAAGACATCTTCTCCGCCTCTTCTTCCACTTCCACCAACGCTACTTCCTCCTCCTCTTTCCCTCCTCCTCATAACCCTAACTTCCACCATCATCATTACCCTTCCTCCGCTGATCATTCTTTCCTCCACGACATATGCGTTCCCGTATGCTCTTCCCTATTCATTTAGACTGTCGATTTTTTCTTTTAAATACGTAATTTATGAATTCAAGTAAAAATTAAAAGCTTGATTAGAACAAAATTATTCTGTCTCGAATATTTTTACCTATCAGTGTTATAAAAAAAAAAAGAACAAAATTATTCTAATTCAAATATATTTATACTAGCTTTCGTTCGCCCACAATACCAAAACAATCCGTTAAACAGTTCCAAAATTTCCTTGTGTATTAATGTTTGTGTGTTTTGTGTTTTGTGCAGAGTGACGATGCTGCTCACCTTGAATGGCTCTCACAGTTCGTGGACGACTCCTTTACTGACTTTCCAGCGAACCCATTGGGAGGAACCATGACATCCGTCAAAACCGAGACCTCATTTCCCGGGAAACCAAGAAGCAAACGATCAAGAGTTCCAGCTGCTTACGCTGGAACATGGGCACCTATGTCCGAATCCGACCAGCAGGTTCATGTCCCCGGGAAACTCAAGCCAAAGAAAGAACAGTCCAGCGGAGGAGGAGGAGGAAGGAATTATCATCAGTCCACAACGGAGGAAGGAGGGATGAGGAGATGCACTCACTGTGCTTCCGAGAAGACGCCGCAGTGGAGGACAGGACCACTCGGGCCCAAGACTCTTTGTAACGCATGTGGAGTCCGGTTTAAATCCGGTAGGCTTGTACCGGAATACAGACCGGCTTCGAGTCCAACATTCGTGTTGACTCAGCATTCCAACTCTCATAGGAAAGTGATGGAGCTTCGAAGGCAGAAGGAGGTTATGAGACAACCACAGCATGTCCAACTTCACCACCACCATCATCACCACCATCCGCCGTTTTAGTCCGACGTCACTTCTTTTTTTTCTTTTTTTTTGTTCTTCTTGGGGGTTGGGTTTGGGGCGGGGGAGTCATGTGATGATGACGTTTAGCGATCCTAGCGGCGTTTATCACGTGACCGACTACGACGGGAGCGTAATACTAGTTGTTTAAAAATCGAACTCAACCTCATTAAATTGTTAATTATTACAAATTTTAAAACTTTTTTTTTGTTACCTTTTCTTTTACGTTAATCCTTTTTTTATAAGTTAAAAAAAAAAAAAAATCGTCTAACACTCAACAAGTAAGATACAATTACAAATGATTATATCAGAGGTGAATTAGAAAATTAAGGCTACATTAATCACTAGGTGGCGTCAGCGGTCAGAGTAACTATACTACTCTCTACTTGCACCCTTGTTGCGAGTTGGGTAGTGATCCACTTGTTCTAATTTAACTAAGCTGGTAGTCTTAGATTTTACTTTAGTTTGATAAATCTTTCATTAGTTAAATAAAACCGAACCGAAACTTAGGTTGGAGGAATTTGATACTAAACATAACAAAATTAGCCTTTATCCTGTTTTAGACATTTGCTATTGTGTGAATTTTGTCCACCATGTAATCAAATTCTTAACTAGAATAAGGGTTTGATTTTCCTCATATGAAGATACCATAGTTACTGATAACACAAGTATACTTACTTGGAAGGGAAATCGATAATCTCTGTTCTATGCATATATAACAAACTGTGGGAGTTTTAAGATAGAACGACAAAACATACCTGCTACATCCTTCCTCTAATTAATTCTCATCTTCTGCCACATTTGAGCAAAATCAAAATGCTTAAGAACTCAAAACCATAATCCAATAAGGGATTCCAAACAGACTGCTTTAGTGGAAAATATAGACTAATAGGTCTGTCACGTTTCAAGACAAATCAACTTAGGTACATTGGCAGAAAAGAGGCATAACCATTTAATTTCAGTGAAAGTAATAACAATATTGAATCCAGAGCAGCACCATCCTCATCCACTTCCACTCAATAAATGCCTGACGTTCTCGTTCCAGGATAAAAGGATGTTGAACTAAATCTACAAAAGTGGATAATATTAATAGCTTAACTAAATGCATACATAGGAGCTCTACTCCACAAATGGAAACATCAAGTTGAGTTGAAACAAGAGACCAGGCCTTTGATCTTCTCATACACCATATGCTCGGAAGCAATTTCTCTAAGAGAATCCTATATATACCAAACATTCACTTTCATCAGAGGATAAAAAAGACTGGCATAGAGAATATATGGTGTGGATTTGTTTACTATAGTTTGGCTTGTATAGCATACTCTGAAATTAGTAAAATGTAAACATGAACACTTCTATATTTATATCTCTGAATATGCGAGTTTACCCTTTAAATTGTTAAAAATATCGATACTGAATTTTTTTTTAATAGATAGTCAACAAAATTAAAAACATTGAATTGAAACCACTGTCTAACACACTGATCACTACCAATCACTTGCGGTAAGTTTCTTGCAACTAGTATCCTCATTTTCGTTGTGTTTCAAGCTCTCTCTCTCTCACTCTCTAGCCTTATCATCACTTGACAAAGTAGAGCTTGCCCATGACATGAAGCACAGCTACAAAAGCAATGAAACCAATGCTCATGACAAGGACAACATTCGGTGAGATCTTAAGACCCGGTGCGTCATCAGTGTAGAACTGAAGCATGGATCCCGCTGCACCACCACCACCACCACCAGATGCTCCTCCTCCTCCACTCCCGCTAGGCTTCCTCCTACGCATGCTTGCAGCTGCAGCTGCACTTCCTCTCTGCGGTGCTCCACTTCCCACCATCCTTTCTTCTTCTCTTCTTTTAACTAAACTAAGACACGTGTATTAAAACAGTCTTAGAGCTTTTCTCTCAGCACCAAAAAACCATAATACAAAAATTCAATCAAATAAACACCGTTGAGTTTTTCATTTAATGCAATTAAATCTAAAACGCCATGATTCTAATTGCAAAGATAAGCGAGTATCCAAAAAAAAATAAAAAATCAATCGTAATGCAACATTCTCAAAATTTAGATGATCACTGCAAAATTCTCAGATTCAACATTTGAAATCAATATAATCTATAACCATGCGAGACTCTAATCCATCAATGAAACCGTATCAGAGATGGTTAATCGTAGATTAACCGCGACTCTAGTTTTCAACATCAAGAGATCGCATAATCAGATCTACACTCTAATCTAGCTCAACGACGGATCTAAGGATTCCTCAATCACGATACCAATCAATCACACACTCGCAGAATCGTAAAAAAAAAAAAAAAAAAAAAAAAANTCGCAGAATCGTAAAAAAAAAAAAAAAAAAAAAAAACTCACCTGATTCGCCTTCTGATGTCGACGAGAACAATAACGAGACGTAGAGATGTTCGGATCTTTACGTTTTGACCCGACTCTGACGTTTTTATAAGGACGCGTTATTCTCGCCACGTAATATAAATCGTATTAGCCAATTATATATCGCCACCTCAGCGTATTTTAAAAGCTTCGTGGTCGAGTTTGTTGGATTATAACTAACGAAAGCCCAAAGTTAAGGCCCATAAAAGCCTAAACGAAAGCCTGTCAGCACTCGGGCATCTATATTTGCCAACAATCTTGTCTACGGACACTGAAAATAATATATACACGACTGTTGTGTAATCATTTTACTTTATTGGTAGGTCATTTGATAAGATATTTGAAGTGAAATGTCTGATTTTAACAGGCATCTTTGATGTTTCTGACTTTTTGATTCCCTAAATCAAAGGATTCAAGCAGAGCCATATAACATAAAAAAATAAACAAATATATGCAGCAATGCTGAGTTAGGGGCCAGTACTACCTTCATTATAAGCTCAAGATGTTTCTGTTGATTATTATTCCAAATGTCTTTCTTTTTGACCATACAGTACGTAAAAATAATCACACTGTAAGTGTTAAAATATTTGATTTCGTTTCTCATGGGTAACTTGTGGAGAACACCGAGTAAAGAATATGAATGATGAAAGAAGTTTCGTACGTACGTACGTAGACATTAAAAGCAATTCATCTTTTTTCTTTGTAGATAGATCACGAACACGAATCTCGAGATGGAGACAGATATGTTAATCAGAGAGTGTCATGATACATATCTATCGGGCATAAGTTATGGAGCCTGACATTTTTTGTACGGTCAGAGTCGACAAATACTGTACTGCTTTATTTTCACCTTCGTACATATCCATCATTTCCAAATCTTGAATTTGTTCCAGTGAATCAGTGCCATGTATATATATAATATAAATTTCACAAATATGTTCCAGTCAATCAGTGTCATATAAAATGAAGCTTGTATTTATTTTCTAACGAGTGTATATCTACATTTTCACTGTGTTATTTTTTATATTTAAAGAACCAATGATCGAAAGTGTGCTTAATGAAAACGAGAATCACAACTGATGAAAGTTGTAACAAAATAATTATCGAAATAATATATATTTTTATAGGTTATTTCAATTCAGTGTTTACTGTATAATTTAATATAGTGTTTTGCATAACTTCGTCGTTGTGTCATTATATAGATTTAAGTTTTTGGTATTATTTATGTGTGTTGCTGACAACAAAAAAAATGGACCACAATATTTTCTCAAACAGATAGTTCCCTTCGATCTTCATGTGAAAACACATGTTGAATTCTAGCTAGGTATGTTGATTATTGACTGGAGTGTATAACATATTCGTTTCTTTGATCGATAATGACTACACTGTCTAGTGTATATCTCCCTTTTGAAACGACAATGATATATCATAGATGTGAATATAACTCAAGAAAAATAATTTAATTTTAATAAGTAAGGTGGGGGAGACGCAACTAAATAAGAAAAATAATTGAATAAGACAATGATGACATGGTAAATAGTTTTGACGAGATGATATTTTTATGTTTGGAAAATCAAATCGGGCCCCTTCACTTTTGCATTTATTATAGAACGTCTTCGTGCGGTGGCGGTAGCTTGGTTTGGGGTATCTCAATTTATTACTTTGGTACCTTGTTTTGGTTGTCCCTCCACATTCATCTTTTTAATATATAGTTTATTATTTACCACATGGAAATAAACAGATCATCGGTCAGGTATATTTTCTTTACTATGCTGTGCATGTACCCTAGATCAAGAACTCGTACTTTCTTTTAGTTTGAGTTGCAGTTGTCGAGCAGATACTTGATAAGGATGAAAGATTTGAATGGTTGCATTTGCATATTTATTGCGTTTTCTGTAGCAAGAAGATATATAGCGACAACACACTTATAATCCTAAAAACACATGTTATTATTAGCATTCGTATTCATGACGCCGTGTAAGAAAATAAGCTAGTAGAATAATAAGAGATTTGTTGTTAAGTCAGAGTTTAAAAATACATTTTAATATAGCAAATGATTTTTAAGAAATATTACCGAACGAGTTACATTTTTGTTTTTGAAACACTTCGAACGAGTTACATTGAATATTGGATATACTGTGTAAAGCGTTTTGGTGTACTAATTTAAGGAAAAGAACCATGTCCATCTAGGATTTTAAAACTCATATATATTTTTAGGTTAATATAATAAATGTTTTTAACAATTTAAAGATCATGTGATTTATATATAGTACTCCCTCTGTTTATAAAAGATCCATATTCTAGTTTTTTCACACCTTTTAATAAAACACAATAAATTTACATAGTTTTTTTTGTATTTATCTTCTTTCCATAATTTTAAACCAATAAAAAATTAATTAGTGCAACTAAATTTTTTGAAGTTTATAATTAGTTAATAAAACATGCATTGAAAATATAAAAAATAGATCTTTTAGAAACAAAATTATTTTCAAGAATATGTATCTTTAAGGAACGGAGAGAATAGTTCTTTACAACTTAGGGATTAGTACCATTTTTTGAACAGAGATTAGCATAAACGTTTTTTTAATAAATATATCTACTAATCCGGTTAGTTTTGGAGCATGAATTGTTATCATATTGTCTTATATGAGATTGAAATATCTTTAAACTAATACCAGAAAATATACCGAACATCTGTTATAATTTATCATATTAACCATATGTGTCGAAACTTAAATCCAAACTAATTAAATAGTAATAATTTAGCTTTCAGGAAAATCAAACACATAACCAACACTGATACATGTTAAACTTTAAGAGATTACCAATTTACCTATAGGTTATCACACTTGGTTATTTTTAGCACAAATTTTTCATTTAGATATGCGAAGAACCAGTCGACATATTCTAGTTTGTATTTCACTAAAATTACACGAAGTATATATTCAGTGCTTGTCCACTCGTGGAAGCAACGTAAAAGCATGAACCACGATAAAATCAACATGCGTTTCTCAATAAAAATAAAATATTAAAATTTACTTTTTACAATTAGATGATGAATAGTTTTATATATTCTACTATTAATAAAGTTACAGTTGTAGAAAAGTCTCTTCATTTTTCTTTGTGAGGATATTCATAAGTGATCGTTTCTAATGATTTGTTATTCTCTTTTTTACTTTTAATATTTCTCGTTATTTTTATCACTAGAAAAATAGTGAGAGACCATCATTAAAGTTGTCCTAAACGACGGCTTTTATGTATCAAAAAAAAATTCAGCTAAATTTGTCTATTAATTTTCTTTTTTAAATTACCAAGCTGATTAAGATGCATTTTAATTTTGGATTAGGGCATCCAATCGTTATGAACTGGCACTGTATATATCACTGAAAGGATATTACAAAAAAAAAAATATATATCATTGAAAGGATAGAAATGTTGTGTGATTCCACCAAAAAAAATGGCCGTGCGTTGTCTATGACTTAACGTCCATACGTGTGAGTCTCATTGTGGTCTTTGGAAGCTCGCGACGTCGACGTTGACGAAAGTCACACGACTCACACCTGTGTCTAAATAGTACACGCGTTAGAACCACTTGTTAACATGAATAGGCCCCTTAACCAGAACCCTCAGGCTCCACCAGAGAGTCTAACTGATGTTGAGTTGACATCTCTCTCCACCTCTTCTACAGACTGTCGGCGGAGTAGTACTCTCTCCCCCTTTGTTTAACTATAGTTTTAGATTCCTTCTAAGTTCTATTTTAATCTTTGTATAATATTTGCTCTTAAGTACTTTGAAGCTGGTTCATTAATTTCAGTTGATATTATGTGAATAAAATATGGATAAAAAACAATAGCTTAGCTGTTGCACTTACACATTTGTCTGATTTTATTTTCAGCTTGTAAAATAAATAATTACTTGTTTTAGTAACTTCTCTCCAGCTTCCATATGACTCCAAAAACCCATGTCGATTCTCTTTTCGATAAAATTCCATATAATAAAATCATGTAGATTTAGTGTACCTTCTCACTCACTATATCTATATTTCGAAACAATTATTTATATTAGAAAATTATTACATTTTCTAATTGGAATCTATATAAAATAATGTCAGAAACGTTCATTACGGTTCGTTTAAACGAAAACTATATACGAAAAAAAAGTATTTAGAAACAACAAATAGGTTTTTTATAAGATTTCTTTTAAACGGTATTTTCTTGTAGTAGATGGGAATTAAATTGCGTTATCTGGAAGAAAGTGATTCAAATCTGGAATATATTTACGACTCAAAAAATAAAACCTGAACTTTCGTAATCGCACGAGCTACGTTTTAATACTATTAAATATTCAGTACACACTAGTAACTACAAATTTAAAATATATAATATAATTTTTTATTATAAAAAAAAAAGAAGTGAAGAGGAAGTTGCCCTACTACATGAAAGCTACTCTCCTCCATCTTCTCGAGCTTACTCTATATAAAAAGCCTCTCAAAACCCTTCCCATTTATTCATTTCAATTTTCATTTCCTAACCAAAAAAAAGAAAAAAAACTTTACCAGACGACAGGAATATACATTTCTTGATTAATGGCGTCTTCTTCGAATACTCTGGCGATATCTCCAAGAAAGCTCCGGTCAGACCTTTATTCATACTCATACCAAGACGGTTCGAGCACACCACTCGTGATCTCTGTTCTCTCGTCTCTCATTGAGCGGACGTTAGCTCGGAACGAGAGGATCAGCCGGAGCTACGGTGGTTTTGGTAAGACACGTGTCTTCGATTGCCTTGAGATCCCTGACATGACGATCCAGTCGTATTTAGAGAGGATTTTCCGGTATACCAAAGCCGGTCCATCGGTTTACGTCGTGGCTTATGTCTACATTGACCGGTTCTGTCAGAATAATCAAGGTTTTAGAATCAGTCTCACTAATGTACATCGTCTCCTCATCACAACCATCATGGTCGCTTCCAAATACGTTGAAGACATGTAAGTTACAAAAAAGATAGTTAAAGTTTTATTCCTCTGCTTTTTTGTAAAAGTAAATTTAAGTTAATTGACTTATTTTTATTTTTATTTGACTCTTACAGGAACTACAGAAACTCGTACTTTGCTAAAGTGGGAGGATTAGAGACAGAAGATTTGAACAACTTGGAACTGGAGTTCTTGTTCTTGATGGGTTTTAAGTTGCATGTGAATGTGAGTGTGTTCGAGAGTTACTGTTGTCATCTTGAGAGAGAAGTAAGTATAGGAGGAGGTTATCAGATCGAGAAGGCATTACGTTGCGCTGAGGAAATTAAATCCAGACAAATTGTTCAAGATCCTAAACACCATAATCAGTTTTCAAGAATCTTGTTGTAGTCAAGAACTCTGTTTTTTTNTTTTTTTTTTTTTTTTTTTTTTGTCGGTTCGGTATGCTTTTGAGGGTCTTTGACTTTTTGATTACCTTGTCGGTTGGGGTTTTCTTGAAATGTAAATAGAGAGAAAATATAGAGACTGGTGTTGTATGTATCTATGTATCAGCACATGTAGATTCTTCTATGTACCTGTTGAGGTTTAAGGAAATGGTTTTTTTGCATATGCAAAATCTTTGTTAATCTTTTGTTTTGTTATTTACTAGTTTCTTAGACATGTGAACTTTAGCAATGGTTTAGACACTAAAATCCATTGATTAAGAAATGGGGCTGTCCATTAAATTTTGTCTCTGATTGTGAAATCTCAGATATTATTTGCCATGCATTGGATTTGTTAAGATTGTTGGCAATCTTAAGGTCATGTTCAACTCACAACCAAACAAAATGTTGTGTTTTATTTTTGTTATAAACTGACGAATTTTAAAATTTTAACTAGCAGATGCATACGTATATAAACTCTCTACATTATATAAATGATAATTGGAGAATAGGAGGGAAAAAAAACAGTTCATGTTTTGTCTATATTTAGGAAAATGATAGTTCACAAGATTTCTTTCACAATAGGAATAGTTCAATAGATTGTACAGCTTTTATACACAATCATGGTGCAAAAATACACAAACTCGTTGAGAACTTCTAATTATGACAAAAGTAACTAAATGATTTGAACTATCTTTTACTACATAAACTCGTTGAAATTTTACAAGCTACATGATTCTGTGGCATGCACATCAACGAGGGGAAAACACAAGCAAGTTCCATAAAAATAACAATAAAAATAAAAAATAAAAACACCCATCCATGGATGTTATTTCTTTTGTCGTACATGAGTTGCAGACCATGCAGTTTTTGGATTTTTCGGATCATTCACTTTGCACAAACTTCAAGTCTTCATCTACTATTATGATTGTTGGTTTCATTGTGTTTGAGGGAATCCGTTATCTTAAGACTGCAAGTTGATGTCAACTTTCTATTTCTAAACTACTTTTAGCATGGGAAATAATACTTTACTTAAAAAATTATGAAGGACCATAGCTTGAAACCTCTATCATACAAACCAAAAAAGTATAGTTCAATTATTTTCCCTTTTGAGTTTATTATTCTGCTGGACCATTTAGCGCTTTATAAAATGAACAGAGTGTTAGTTAGAAAAGGTTATTATTAGTGGATATGATTACTGTCTACCTAAAACTGGTCGTTAGTTCGAAATTCTAATTATGATCACAGCCAGAAAATGGACATTAGGAAGAGATCCGAAGTTCCATCGTATACTTTCTACAAACAATAAATCAATAAAATGAATTTTTTATTTTAGTAGTGATCAGGTATGAAATTCTTGACAATCTATTATTGTTAGTAACAGGCCTGGTTCGTAAACAAATCATGCGGATACTAAACATGAATTGTATATCCACATTAATCATTTTGGATACATGGTGATACGAAAAATATAAAGTTAGGATTCGGGTGCTGATTTGGTGTCAAATAATTGATTAATCGGTGGCACATAAACATCCAATACGATCGGTTTATCATCCTTTTATTTTAATGATGTGCATCAACCATTTTAAATAAAATAAAATAATGCGTTCATTGTTGATTCATTGAATTCTTCCCCTGTTTTTGCATGAGCAAATATAGTAAAACGGAATTCCGTTTTTCAATCGAACAAAAGTACTTGTACGAATGTTTTTCATGAGCATGCATACATAAGAGTAATATATGTTTGAGAAAACATTATATGTACTGTCTACAAATAATAGTGTTGTGTGGTTCACGAGCATTTACCTAACTAAAGGCATCAACCATTTGATCTAATCCTTTGAACTAGATTATTATGTAAACTTCAAAACATAATATTTGATAAATTAATAATTATAATAAATTAAGATTTTTAGTCTTAAGTTGGCATTATCAAAAAATATGATGAAATTCTCTAAATTATAAAATATATGTAAATATATAATTTAATTAATATTATTAGTTATTAATTTATATACATAATACAATTCAATAAATTGCTAAAATAAAAGAGACAAAAAAAATTCAGAAAGTTTACTAAAACTAAAATTATTAAAAAAAATACTAGTATATTAACGTTTTTATAATAAAATAAGTATAAAATTTATTAATTTATATAATTTAAATGATACGACTTTGATTTTCTCTTTGTCGTATTTTCATCCGTGAAAATATAAATTCAAGATTGTTAAAAAAAAAAAAAATTCAAGATAGCACCTCCAAGATATTATTTTGGTTGTCCACAGAAGTGCATGGGCCTAAGAGCATCTTCATCGCTCGTTTCTACGCGAGTTTTTTGGGACAAAAGTTGGTGTAGGTCCCACCAATAACGAAAATACGTTGCCGTTTGTCGCAGAATAAGAAACGTATTTCGTTCTGTGTCGCGGGCCCCGTGACACGTGGTGGCCCGCGGTTGGCTCCTTTTAATTTTTTTTTTTTTTTTTAAAAAAAAAAAATCAAACAAGAAAAAAAAAAAAAAATAGAAAACCCAAATGGGNAGAAACGTATTTCGTTCTGTGTCGCGGGCCCCGTGACACGTGGTGGCCCGCGGTTGGCTCCTTTTAATTTTTTTTTTTTTTTTTAAAAAAAAAAAATCAAACAAGAAAAAAAAAAAAAAATAGAAAACCCAAATGGGTTTTAGCGATGAAGATGCTCTAACAGGCCGATGATTTATACAGGCCATCTAATGATTTTTCTCGTTTGCATCTAAATGTAACAGACGGATGTGCGTCATCAAAATCTAGTAAGAAAAAACATTTCAGATACACTTTTACTATGAGTCTTCATAACGAAACCCACGCCAAGTTTTACGTTGAACAGTCTCGGATTTTTTCAAACCCTTCGCCTGACGTTGGGTTGAATAATTAATTAAGAGTTTACATGTTGCATCAAAATCTAATCAGATTTTCACTTTTACTATAATTAAGTAAACAATGTTCAGATTTTCACTTCAGGCTCGGGCAAAGTTCGAGGGTTAGTTCCAATCTAGGCTCAGGCTTTTCTGTACCCACTACAGAACATCTAGTGGATTAAAGGATGGAGATATGTTTTGTTCGAAGGGGATAATCTTGAACTCACCAATATTAGCAATACTCGTGGACAAGATGTGGGGCTGAATAATGTATTATCTGACATTAGATATTGGATGGGAATGTTGCCCGAGTGTTCTATTGAACAGGTTAATAACGAAAGAAATCAAGAGAAGGATCTTGTTGGCGTAAGCATGTACTCTGAGTTTCATAACTCTACTTGTTTGGTTAATTGATTATTTGTATTACCCTTCTACTATATAATTTAATAAACTTACTGTTGTTAAAAGAGAGAGAGTAAAGAATGGATCGATAACGAAAATCACGCCAAGTTTTACGTTTAATAGTCTGCGATTATTTTCAAACCATTCGCCTGACGTTGGGTTGAATAACTTTTCTATGAAATTTACACACTATATCGTTTTCAACCGTGAGATTGAGATTTCAACGGTGTAGATCAGTGGATATAGTTCTCCAACGGCCAAGCAAACCACCATTAACGTACAAGTTTCTCCATCGCGATACGATAAAACGAAGATCCAATATAATTCCAGTTCACCTTGTTTTAAGGGTAAAGAAGAATTAGTTACATAATACGACAACGAAAATTTCGACCACATGTACCTGTGGGCCTAACCGTTAACCGTCACGTAGTGACGTAGGACATATAGTTCGAAGTAAAACAAAAAAAAAAAACAAAGACTTCACGTATCCTATAAGTTGGGCTACTAGACATTAATATATTACACGTGGCTTAAAACAGTTGGGTAGTAGAGTCCTTCACGGGTTTCGATCAACAAATGATAAGTCTATATAAGTAACACTAAGTCATAACTCGATACTCACTTATCTTTACAATGGCAAGTCTTGTCCTAGAGCAATGTTACATGATCATGAACTTACTCTTTGTTCTAACATTTGTTCTATTGAACTCTGCTCATTGTTTTAACCCAAAAAGTCTCAACGTTTCGGCTGTAGCGGGGGAGTCCGATTGGTCTCTGGCCGGAGCTACGTTTTATGGCCCCCCCCACCGGCTACGGAACCGACGGTATACATATGCATAGATGTATTTATGTAATATAATGCACATGCACATTACATCTCTACGTAACCAATTTATTTTGCTCTATATATATATAAAACTAACTAGAGTATAAAATAATGAAGCTGGAGCGTGTGGTTACAAAAATGCTGTGGCACAAGCTCCATTTTCGTCCATGGTATCAGCTGGAGGCCCGTCGTTGTATAAGTCGGGAAGTGGATGTGGTGCATGTTATCAGGTTCTGCATGCGTTTTATAGTATTCATATAAAATATATAAAAGTTTTAAACGTTAAAACAAAAAAATTATACGTTGGTTAATACAATGTACAGGTAAAATGCACTTCGAACCAGGCGTGTTCGACGAACCCAGTTACGGTAGTGATTACAGACGAATGTCAAGGATGCGTCAATGAATCGGTCCATTTCGATTTGAGCGGTAAAGCGTTTAGTGCGATGGCCGTTCCTGGTCAAGATAGTCAGCTTCGAGATGCTGGAGTTTTGCAGATTCTTTTTAGAAAGTATATAAACGTCACATTAGATAAAAATAACTACAACAATATGGTTATATATGGTAATGTTTGGTTTATTGATTTTGCTCTAACTTTCATTTATGTTTGTAGAGTTGAGTGCAACTATGTTGGCGAAACGGTGGTGTTTCAAGTGGAAGAAGGTTCAAATGACTACTACTTCGCGGTTTTGGCTAAGTATGTAAACGGAGACGGCGAGATCGGCCTAATTGAACTCAAACAAGCGTCAGCTTCTGACACATGGCTTCCGATGAGCCACTCATGGGGTGCGGTTTGGAAGCTTGGAGTGACGTCACCTTTGCGAGCTCCACTGTCTCTCCGGTTGACTTATTCAGACTCCGGTGAGACCGTTGTGGCTTCTGATGTTATACCGGCCGGTTGGCAGCCCGGTGCTAAGTACAAATCGAACGTAAACTTTCAAGTCTAGCTAGACTAACTAAGTTTAGCTTACTCGCGAGTCACGAATCGAATAATATCTAGTGGAAGTTATCTTCGTTACATGTTTGCTATAACCTTAAATAAGCATGTAGCTATGTTGGTTTTTAAATAATTAAATGTGTACGCCCCTAGGGCGAAATAAAAATTTGTGTTAAAGTTCATATGGTGAATTGGTATAAACGATAATCAGTCACTTGTATGATAACATAAACAAGTAATTTGTTTGCTTTACAACTCTCTATCTTGTTTAACATTAACATTTGTAATGGAATGGAATGCTTATTCCATTAGTTACACACAAAAATAAATAAATTAAAAAAATCACTTCATTTTAATTTTAGTCATGAACTGGATTCTAACTTTCGCAACCGCGCGGGTCTTTGTTTAAACTTTTATATACATAAATATTTATTTTAGTTTATTAGTAGTTTAATCAGATATTTAAATATTTATACACTTATTTCAAATATAATAATTTTATAGTTTACATGTTGTAATTAATCAATCGCTTAAAATCGTTACATGTATTTGTCGCTTCTTTTGTATTTAGTTATTAAACAAATTAATTTATGTTAAATTTGTATCCGTCCTTCAAAACTGGATTTCTTTTTAGCAATATTTAATACGTTTATTTCTTTTAGATAATATATTATTAGTTATTATATATACAAAAGTCTAAGATATGTTAACTTTTATACATGTATTATGTACTTTGCTAATTTATCCCATCTTATCAACGTATTATAGCCGCTCGCTCAGACTAATGGCCCGGCTAACGCCTCTCACCATCCCATTAGTTGTTTTTGAACATAAATATTTTATACTTAAGAAAATAAGTTATATAAATCTATCAATTTAAAATAATTTATCAGATTTACCTCAATATAAGAATTTTAATATGTTTTCTTACGATTATATAATAGATAAAAATAGGATAAAATTTTATTTTTTTATTTTATAAACAATAATTGAATATTAATGCATAATAATACTTCATTGATAATTACCAAATTAGTGAAATTATTTACATAATTTTTAAATAAAGATATTGTTCAATTATTTTCAACAGACTTTTTATAATTTTTAAATATATATATATATATATATATATATATATATAAACTAATGACGTAATTAGTGAAAATATTTAAATATAATTAAAAATAATATATTGTCAAAATCTTTTGAAACAGATTTATGGAATTTTTAAACTTAATATTAATATTTAAAATGAAAAGATATCAAAAGATATTATGATTTAAAGTAGTTTGAATATTCTATATATTGTTAGTCTTAATAAAAAATTCTAAAGGATGATCCATTTAAAAAAAAAAACACACATGAAATGAATTGTGAATTCTCTTTTAATGTATACTAGATTTTGACCCGCACAACCGTGCGGGTGATTATTTTTATTTTTACAGATATAATTATTTGTTTTACATGATTAATTTTAATATTTACCATATTATTAATTGTTTAATCTATATTTATTAAAACATAACAATTTTATAGACCACATGCAATAATTTTATTTATTTGTTTTAAATTTTCAGTGATAATATATTATAAATCATGTGATACAAAATTTTAAATTGAAAATATTATAGGTTAAAAATCAAAAATTTAATTGAAAAGTATTATATATTAGTATGAAAAATTTAATACAAACATGTACATGATTTTATTTATAATTAAAAATTAAATTGATATTTAAGTTTTTATTTTAGTTAAATTAAAATATAGGTTTAATTTTTAAATGATCACAAAATTAACTAAATATGTTTTGAAGAAACTAAGTAAAAATGAAATATACTTTTATCTTAAGTAAATACGAAATTAATTAATAATTTATAAGTTTATTTTAATGAAAAATGAAATATATATAAATTTACATTGTAAATAAGAAGATATGAAGAGATTTTATTCATATATAATTTCAGAGAAAATATAGGAATATCTATTTGTTTTTTTTTCTTCTAGAATAATTCAAATAATTCATATGTTTATACAGAATATAATTTAAATAACTTTTAAGGAAGGTCCATTTTTTGAAATATCACACATGAATTGAAGTCATGACTTCTATTTTAATATATAAGATTCATATGTTTATACAGAATATAATTTCAATAACTTTTAAGGAAGGGTCCATTTTTTGAAATATCACACATGAATTGAAGTCATGACTTCTATTTTAATATATAAGATAAATGGAATGAAATCTATTCCATTTTTATTTAAATTCCATTCCTTTTATTCCACTAATTTTTAGATGTACTAATATTTCCAATTATACAAATAATTTTTTAAACACTGAATGTATTCATAAGAACTACTCCCAAAAACACATTATAAATATCCGCATCATATTATTAATCAGATTTACATCTAGCTATTGGTATTACATAAATTTCTTTGAACGAAATAAAGTTAGATCATAAAATGGCACCATTCAAAAAATGCTTTGCTCTTTTAGCTCTTTTTGCAGTCTCATTTAAGTTTTGTTATTGCCAGAATGGAACTATAAATGCCGCTGGTTGGGCGAACGCTGGTGTTACTTGGTACGGTGAACCTGAGGGAGCTGGTAGCACCGGTACGTATTATTAAAATTTGAAACTAACATATATATATAAATTTTTATCTTCAAAAATGTATTTGTTTGATAATGTAAATATATGTCAATAGGTGGAGCTTGTGGATATGGCGTGGCAGTGGCTAATCCACCGCTATACGCGATGATTTCAGCCGGAGGCCCTTCACTATTCAACAATGGAAAAGGATGTGGAACATGTTATCAAGTTCGTATTAACATATTGAAGCAATTTTCTTAAATAAACCCAAAATGAGATATTAATATTTATTTAACTTAAGATCAGCATATTAGCATATAAGCAAAAACGACCAATTTCTTTTTCATACAAAAAATGGTATTGATTAATTTAGGTTCATGTGGCCGGGATAGGTTTGGTTTATAAATTATACATACTGATACATGCACGCAGGTCTGAAGAATGACGTTACATGCAAGCAAGTCTAAAATACATTATATTTAATTGTCTCAACCATATTGTAAATGTAAATATGTTTATTTTAGATTATGTGCACCGGGAACCCAGCGTGTTCAGGGAGACCAATAACGGTGACGATAACGGATGAGTGTCCCGGTGGTCCTTGCACCTCAGAGCCAGTCCATTTTGATCTAAGTGGCAAATCCATGGGTGCCTTAGCCAAACCTGGCCAAGCCGGTAATCTTCGAGCAGCTGGTGTTCTACGTGTTTATTACAGACGGTAAGATTTACTTTTGTGATGTTTATTTTACAATGTCCAAAACTTTTAAAATTTTACTATTTTTGTAATTTTTTTTAGAAAAAATATTAACGTGAATAATTTTAATTTTTTTGTTTACGTTATGTTTGTTCCAGTGCTGCGTGTTCATATAGAGGGACTAAAATAGCTTTCCATGTTGATGCTGGAGCTAATCCGTACTACATGTCATTTGTTGTGGAATACGAAAACGGTGAAGGAGATTTGGCGTCCGTTGAGATTCAACCGGCCGGTGGAGGATTTATCTCTATGCAAGAAATGAGGTCTGCCGTGTGGAAGTTAAACTCTGGTGGTGCTATGAGAGGTCCGTTCAACATTAGACTTACATCTGGTGAGTCTAAAAAAGTAGTGGTAGCTCGGGCTGTTATTCCAGCGAATTGGAAGCCTGATCAGACGTACCGGTCAATTGTTAACTTTTAGGGTTTACTTTCTTTGGTCATATTGTAGGTCGACTCATTTCTTTGTTCAGTCTTATCAAAATATTATAACTTTTAGGGTTTACTTTATTTGCTCAGATTGTAGTTCGACTCATTTCGTTGTTGGCTATTATCAAAATATTATAAATAAAGCTTATATGAAATAGTAATGATTGATAAAAAAATGGATGTTGGTTATCACTTATCAGTACGAGTTCATATATTTATTTCTAGATTAGGTTATGCATAAAACCCACAAAGAAGTAGAAAACAAAATTAGATGAGTGGTGATACTTGTAGTCCAAAACTCTTGCCATTAAAAATCAAAACCCATAATATAGATTGATCTCTTGAATAATCAAAAATAAATATATGCCGATGATTATTGATGAAGAAGAATGATGGCCTGATAGAGTCAGGAAGAAGAATAAATATACATGAGGTTCCTTTACCTGGGCAAATAGAGCATATTATACTTGGGAAAATAGAGCAAGTCAAACAACTTGCTGAGAATCTCTTCATTGCAGGTTTCTTTACAGCTTTAAGTTGCTTCTCAATCTCTTCAAGACCATATTCTTCTCCGATTACTTTCCTATTTATTGAAGCTACATCTATTAACAGAGTCAGTACGATGTTCATAAGTGCACATTTCCAGCAAACTAACAACTCTGATCTGATTCTTGTGCTCTGCCCTCGTATATGTTGAGAGCTAGTTTAAGTAAGCTAAACAATGAAATTTAAGTATTTGAAGAGATCAAATAATATCAGATACTGTTTTAAAAAGTATAATATTGGTTTCCAGCAAAACAAAATGTAATCGAGCTAGTGCAATCAGAGACGCATAGTAGACTAGGATCGAAACTAAAATGCAGTACAAATACATCATCCATTTGAGGGAAAACTTCAATACAAAAAGAAAAGCTGAAAATGGTCAAAAATAGCATCGGGAGAAATTTAGTGGCAATAAAGTTTAATAACTGAGTCTGCGCCTGCAGTGAATAACCATGGTTGCCTCGGATGAAACTTGCAGTCCAAGACTCCTGCCATCAAACAATGACCCCATTAGCATAAAATAATCTCATAAAGAACATAAACGAAGAATCAGAAACACGTGAGAGAAAAAAAAAAAAACTGACCTCTATTTGAAGAAGAAGTAGAATGGCCTCTTAGAATCTCCAAAGGCACAATCAGAGGATTCTCGTTCAGATCACTATACACCTTTCCATGGAACACATAAGCCGTTGAATCCTCCGAGCACGAAGCGAACAACGGATACGAGCGGTGGAAAGCCACATTCGTAATGTCTTTAGGATGGTTCTTGAGAGTCTTGTACGGTTTCGAAGACAGATCCATGTCAAACCAACACATCTTCCCTTCTTTGCTTCCTACTATCAGATTATCACCACCAGGATGAATCGCCATCGATGAGATCTCTCTCAACCCGGTCTCAAGCTTTTTGATGGGCAACTCTTTCTTCTGAAGGTTGAAAACACGCACGTTCTTTTTCGTGGCGATGATGAACATTCCACGGTGGTGGGGATGAAAAAGTGTACAGACGGGAAGTCCCCGCATCTTTATTGGGAGCCTTTGTGTTTTATGCACTGAGAGCTGGTGTATGACAACACCTCGCGTTTCGCCTGCTGACATGACTGCTGAGAGATAGTCTCCTCTTGGATGCCAGTCAACAAATGATACGTTCTGAGAATATTGAAAAAACAGTTAAAGATCTCTCCCTGTTATTACACGACAGTGTCTACAAGCAAAAGTGTACCTTAAAATGTCTTATCTTGATCCCTCCAAATGTCTCATCTTGATGCCAGCTTACAATTGCCGCAGCTATGAAAATATACCCAAGAAGGAGATGATTAATCATTCGGATTTTTTCATGTATATTTCTTATTAACTTGTTGGTCGCTATTTTGAGACACTTACCAGATTCATCTAGTTCTGGAAGGCTTCCTAAGCGAAGCAGCTCTTCAATCTTTTGTTGTTCCTCATCAGTGCCAAGTTCAGTGTTCAGGATAACCAAATCTTGTCCCCTGCAAATGTGAGATGTGATGATGATTTCAGTATAGGGATTTTTTATAATAAATTAACAAACAAACTTCCAAGATCCTAACTCACATGGCGACGGCTAGAATTGGAAAGTCAGGAAGAGGATTCCAGGCGACACACTTCACAGGTTCCTTAAACTGCCAGACCTTAAGACATCTACCAGTCTCCACTTCCCATATACGAACAGATCCATCAGCAGAACCTTTATAAAAAGAAAAAAGGAACACGAAGATTGGCATCTTGTAAACAAAAGAGAAGTCAAGAAAAATGAATATGGACACCAAATGAAATACCTGAGGCTATCCACTGGCCAGAACAATCAGGGGATAGAGAAGTAACAGCTCCTGTATGGCCTTTATACTCAAGGTAGCAGGAGTTTGGATAAGGTCTAAGATCCTTCCTACTAGGTAGCTTAGGCTTCAATGATTCAGGATCAATGTTTATCTGGAGAAACAAAATACACTGGGAGATTAATACAGGGAAAAAAAAAAGAAAAGAAAATGAGACGTTCGAATAAACTCCTACTCTCTTCTTTCGAACTCTTGGACATAAGTATAGATCCAAACAACGAGCAAATAACTCCTTTAGTGCATTCTCATATGCTGGGATGCTTCTCAGAGATGTAAACCTATGCACAAATATAATCCACCATGAGGCTTAAGCTAACAAATACCAAAGAGATCTATATCAGAGTGCATTCAGCGTTTAGTACAGTATACCTTTTAGGAATGAATTTTGGACGATCTTCCTCAAACATCAATTCATAAGCTGCTATTTCTTCCTCTGTTGGAATGTATTCCAAAGAAGGATTGTATGATTCTTCGTGTCCTGGAAAAGCCAAATTGTACAGATTAAAAACCTCCGAAAATGGAATTCTAGAACTGAAGCAGATAAACAGATAAGTCACTGAACCTGGCAGCTTTAGTTTCGGTGGAGGAATATAAGTTAAGTGCTTGCTCTTTTGATCTGAAGTTGAATCGTCACCCCATAAAAGGTATACGTTGGGCTCTTCTTCGGGTTTATCAAACTTGATCAGACCCTTCCTTATTGCTCTAACATACTTAACAACTTTTTTAGCTTCCCATTTTGAAGGGATGAACCTTCGCTTGGGTTCTGGTGCACTTGAGAGTGGATGTATCGCATCGTCCCATTTGAACCAATCGACATAAGGCTGTGACAGTCCAATGGTCAATATTGAAGTGATTGGTATAATATTAGTAGAAAATGGTATCACATAAACCACATACATACCGCATATGGATCGAAATCAGCATGTGGAGCTTCGCCTTTGAGCATTCTACGAATGAGCTTGCTCTCCTCTTTAGTCAGCTCCACTTCCTCGTCATTATACTCATCATAAATCTTGCGCCTAAAAGTCCCACAAAATGCATCAGCATAATGCTACTAACTAATACACCAAAACAAACAGAAACGTGTACAAAATTACCAGTTCTTGGAGTCATCCATAGTTGCAAGAAAAGAGTCGAGCTTGTCTTGCTTCTCTTTCTTGGTAATCTTCTTCCCAGTGATGTCATAACCAATATGTTTCTCGTCTTTGTACCACTCCAAAGGAACATCCCCAACTGTATTCCTAGGAGCAACCTACATATTAAAAGATTAAAAAATTTATCTAATCCCATTTGTAAGTTCATAGATAAATTCATATTCTACAACGTTATAGAAAAAGCACCAACCTCATCTTCAGAAGAATCACTCTCTTCAGCAACTTCACGTTCCTCAGAACCTTCATCATCACTCCCATCTTCTTCCTCACCATTCTCACTATCTACTTCATCATCATCTGAGCCCTCATGACCTGCACCAACGTATTGTTACTAAACCTATAGACCTAAAACCCTAACTACCAAGAGTATGAGCTAAATAATCAATTACCATGGAGCTCGTCTTCCGACGCTTCTCCGTCTCCACCTTCCGTCTCTCTCTGTGAAGCATCGTCCTCGGAATCGAAGATATCGGAGTCGAAGTCATCGGAGTTCAAAGAGCCGGACAAACTCTGAAAAAATCACAAACACACATATAAAAAGGAAATTAAAACAAATGTACAATTAGAGAAGAAGGAGCAAGGGGAAGAAGAAGAAGAAGAAGAAGAATACATCTCCGTCGTAATCGGAATCAGCTCCGGAATCTGAATCTAGTAGCAGGTCTTCTTCTTCTTTCGAGCTTTTCACTTGCTTAGCTACTACTGGCTTCTCTTTCTGAGGTTTTAAAGCGGGGGAGACGCTTTTCTTATTGGTTTCGATCGTTTGATCTTCGTTAGCTGCTTGGCTCTTCTTCTTCGTCATCGGTGCTAACAGAGAGGCGGAGGTTTTGTTCTGAGAAAAAGAAAAATCTCGGTTGCAGTTTGAAGGGGGTTGCGCGAAAGAAGATTTAGGGTTTTTGGTTAAAGTCGTATTGGTCCTTTTCATCTATTATGGGCTTACTTATGTTAATGGGCTTTTCTGTGAATTCTCTTATGGGTCTGCTATTAATTTTTTTAAAAAATTGTAGAAATTATTTCATTGTAAACTTTTATAATATAAGTTAAAAATATAACTGATCTATTTTAGTATTTCTACTAATTCAATTTAAATTTTTAATAAAAACTTATTATTTACATACCTCTATAGCTTTTTTAATTGTTTTACTATTCTGCAACCGCCCGCAAACCATTAAAACTAGCTAGAACAAGTTTTTAAAATTTAGAGGTTTATATCAGTTTACAACGATTTGTAAAAAAAAATTATAATTGTTTCAAAACATCAATAACTATTATCAATCGGAAAAACTGTATTTATGGATGGTAATCATGCTTTTAATCTCACGACGAGAAATGGTTTGTTGACGTTTTGCAAAATACGAGAAGGAAATGAAGTTTCTTTAAATTTTTATTATATGGTAAATTTTATTCGGAAATACATGCTGAACTATATTTAAGAAATAAAATAAATTACATGAAACTACTGTATAATTATACAGGAATTTCCAAATTTTTTATTGTAAGAAACAATATTTTTTCTCTGTATATATTGACTTTGCATCATCATATACGATTTTAATATTCAATCAGATATATAATATTAGAGACCAGAAGTAAATGGCACGAATGATGGAATCCAGGAGCCACCAGCAATAAAACTACCAACAGTGAACCTTGAAGCCTCTGAGGTAGAACGAAGGACTCTAAAACCAGGCCATGTGACCCGACGTGAAGTCGAAGCACCCGGACCCGTATTCTGAAACTCGGCATAAAACAAAGTTCTCAAGGCAAAGTTACCGTCCCACTCAAGCCATCCACGTGGATCAATCAAGCTATCAAGAAAAGTCTTCATAAATACCGTCCTTGAATATTGTCTCCATGGTCTACCTAAATATGTCTTGGTGGATCCCAAAATGGGTCGGAGATCCGAAGCTGCGGTGACCCGAGAATTGTGGATAATAATACCCGTATTTTGGTTCGGGTCAGATCTTCCTTGTGCAGTGATTGTGTTGGTGCGACTACGTGGACGACGTGCAAAGATGTTGCAGTTTTGGAGAACAGCGGCTGCGTTTCCAAAGATGAAATCTACTGTTCCATAAACGTCACAGTCACGGTAAAATTGGCGGTTGGAGTGAACGTAGAGTGTGTCTTGGTAACCTTCAAAGCTGCATTGATAGAAGACAGATAAATCTGATCCAGATCTTAGAGCTACCGCTTGCTCGTTGTTTGCACCCGCAGTGTTTCTAAACGTTATTCCACGTGCTATAAATCCGTCTCCGACCGCCGCTGCAATTATGTAAGAAAATTACTACTTTAAATTTAATTATACTTTGAGTTAGCATGTCGTCTACTACTACGGCTATAATAACATTTTTGGTATGGTTGTAAGATTTAACAAAGTAAAAAAAAAAAAAATAAGAACGAAAATAAAAAAAATCACTAGTTTATATTTTTTTTTAGCATAATCACTAGTTTATATATTTTTTAACACAATCACTAGTTTATATATATTTTACAAAATTATCGTATAGACTATGTCGTTTCTTGGAGTCAACAGTCAAATCATATATTATTCTTTTTTGCTTACTTCACGCTAATAACGTTGTAAATTGTTGTGTACGAATAATAGAGGATTGCGTATACTTGCAAATCCACGACACTAAGCATCATTAAAAATTTGATTTGACTTATAGGCTTCTCAGAGATTTGTATAGAAAAGTATACAAATGATAATTTTTTTATTTTTTATACCAATGAGAATTAAAGACCACATCTAAAATCTTGAATCATATAGCAGTTTCAGTTTCACTATAGCGTGTTGTTTTCATGCACGTCAAGCTAAATATAGCCTATTATATTTATAATCTAATGAAAATAATTAATAGTAATCATCTTTTGTTTTGTAATTAATTATTTTTTGTTTTGTTTTGTAATCATACGTACCGACAGTAGCTGAATTAAACGTGGTCGATCCTCCTCCAACACTTCTGCTTCCGGTAATAATCGTTCTCCCCTTACCATCACCTCTCAACATAACATTCTTTTTACGAATCTCAAGATTCTCACTGTAAACGCCTTGTTTCACATATATCACGAACCTACCACTTCCGGAAGCAGCGTTGATCGCGTCTTTAATCGTCCTGAAATTACCAGACCCGTCTTTAGCCACAACCGCGTTATCTCTTGGTGTCGAGCTTTGCAAAAGCTTCCGGTCACCGGGTCTAACCCACGAAGGGAACCCGTCTTTCTCGGGTGGGGTGTAGTTGAAAGGAACTTTGTTAATGGCGAGTGTGTTGCATATAAGATTTGAGACGTTGTTTGACATCAGAGGAAGGACGATATCGGTAACACCTAGCTCTAAAAACCCTGCTCGGCAAGTGTCGAGATTGGTTAGAGCCGTGCTGAGCCATGTCTGCGCGTCGGTTTTGGAGCACTTCACGTTTGGGTCCATGGTCTCGTTGATTTTAGAGACTGTGAGGTCGTAGAGCTTGATACAATCTTCCCAAGCAGCTTTAGCACGTGCGTTGCGGCACTTTGGTCCTAGTGTCGAAGCGTGGGTCTTGGCGAGGATGGCTCGGTCTAGAGCTAGTTTCATTGAGATTTTGAGAAACTCGGACTCGGATTTTATGTGCTTTTGGCCTGAGTTGTGAGTTAAGAAATATTCACATGGTTTAGGGTTTGGAGTTTGGCTGCACCATGCTTTTACGTCCTTTGAGTTGTACCCGGAGACGGTTGATACCACGAAAATGCATATGAATATAAATGTTAGAATATAAACTCGAAAAGCCATTGTAAGGCCAAATGTTTTGAGAAACGGGAAGTTTGTATTTGAATGTGTTTGGACGATGAGACTGTTGTCTTGAATCGATGTGTTTATATATAGATGCATGGATGACTTTATGCTTTTGTTAAATAAATCATTCAAATATGTTAATATGTAATTTCGCAATAGTTGAAGCAAAAAAAAAAATATATGTGTCTGCACCTACCAATTGATTGGTAACCATCAAGCCGTCATATATTCTCTATAATGATTTTTTTTATCTTGTTTGACGTGTATAATAATAATACTCCAATTTGAGTAGGTGACCATTTATTTGAATCGGTAAATAAACCAGTTAGTCCACAATCGATATGTATCTTGGAACAACTTAAATGTGATACCTAGCATGCAAAAAGGTTTATTAATTAGCAAGTCGTAAGTATTATATAACTTAATTATCAGGTCTTATGTACAAAATTCACTAACATTATTGGCACATATATACACGTTTGTGGAAGTTTATAATCGGATGTCCAAAGGTCATAATTAAGAAGAATATTTTTTTCTGAATAATAAAAATTCAAAGTCATGACTCTGCATGATTAGTTTGATTGTGTCTATAGTTGTAACTTGTAATAATAAGTTAATAATTAATGAGAATTAGTTTATGCAGGGCAGGTAAGGCAGAGACAGTGTAATCGCTATCCTCAAATTAAGACTAATCAACCGTCAACTTAGAAATTTTCACTACGACCGTTTGCGGTTTGTACGTATACGAATGTACCAGAATTAGTAAATTTAGGGTGGAGGGTTCACACAGATTCTAAAAAAAAAATTAATATTTCTTTTTGTTTGATTTAAAATAATAATAATAAACCAATCAATCATGGACCACCACATATCGTGGGATCCATGAAACAATGTTGAATTCGTATCACTGCAGCAAATTCTATCGACACGGTTTCACCAAAAGATGATTATTATAATATATTTCTTTTTTTTGGGAATTGTATGAACCCCATCAATAGTTTCTAGATAGGAATGCTCTAAGCAATTAATTTGTTTGTTAAAAGTAATCTACTAGGCTATATGGTCACTATATAGATAAATATAAGAAATTGAAAAATTAACAAACGATACTATTATTTATGAATTGATTTTTAACATTCGAACTTTTGTGTTATAAATTAAAATAATTAATATCATTTATACTATTAATAAATAAAATATATAAATTAGTCAAAAATAAAATAAATTTTAGATTTATTTGATCAGATAAGTGGCTAAAGTTAGAATAATAAAAAAATATCCAAAGATATATTTTAAAATAAAAGTAGTTTTACATATATAATGTTGTTATTCGAAAATGTTTTTTTTTGTAAGAACGAGAAACACTTAACTAAATATTAATCAAGTAAAATTTTTTATTTTATATAATCGAAAGAAAATATTGATGGAATTTTAAGATTTATTAATTAAAATGAATATACTATACCAATATTTTTCAGAATAAATAATACATAATAAATTTCTAGTGAAAAATAAATAATAATTTATATTATAATCTTTTAATTAGTAATACATGTATTAATAAGTAATTATAATGTTTATACATGTATGTGCGAACGACATACCTAATCTTATATACATAGTCAATATACACTACAAACTAGATATATCCTAAAGCTTCCTGAGCTAGTTAAAATACTTATATTTTCTTATATCATTTTTCATTTACATTAAAGTATATAGAATGATTCAAACTAATCTCTAAGTGAGGTATACCTTGCGGTTATGTTTTATTTTGGACATTTCTAATAAAATTCAAAACATAACCGCATATCACATGTTTAATAAGGTTGTGAGATAGTTTCAAACTTGAATCATTTACTTTTTCAAAATCTGATATTTTCTTATATCATACACACAGAACTAATGAAAACGTATGTACCATATATGTTTGGATTCTGGAACCAGTTTCTGACAATCATGTTAAGTTGTAAATCATTTTGTAAACCAAGTGAAGTATACGTTTTGGATTACCCGTGTATATTATTACGTCA